GCCGGTAGCACTCGGGCAGCCCTTTTCGCATGGCTGGGAGGGAGGAGGGGGAGTTAGGGCGGGGACTTTGGGGAAGGGGGGGGGAATGGGCGGAGGTGGGGAAGGGGGGGAGTTGGGCTGGGGGTGGGAAAGGGGCGGGGCCAGGGCCCGTGGAGTGTCCTCTTTTTTATTTTTTAAATATGGTAACCCTATCTAAAGAGTACACCCATATGTTCTAAAGAACTTATTCCAACTAAGCCATCTATAAAGTGAATTAGTATTTTCCAACTGATTATTATCGAGCAGGTTGTCCACTGTCTAAACAAAGTTGATGCCAAAAATCTGCAACAAAAGAAATAAAGCTGCACTTTCATGCAAACAGTGTGGTACAATGTCCAGGACAGGGTGAGCCACAGGTAATTCATTAATGAGCAGAAGCAGAAGTAATTGCTCATCATATATCAACACAAAGAGGCATGTCTTAAGTAGCTCCCAGGGAGACATGCCTGATACATTGTGATTATTATACATTAAATTACTGAGGACATATTAGTCTGTTTATTTTGTCTTGCTTTGAAATGCTTTTCTGAAAAACTGGGGTATGAATTGCTTACATTTTTTTCTACTATTATGCCACATGCTGCATGTGTGGTGCATGTCTTCTGCTGGATGGAACCAGAACTGCTTAGCTGTGACATAGGTCCTAATTTGCTAATAGAGAGTCTCCTTTTGCTCAAATGTGCTTTTGGAGCAGGGAGAGATGATTTTAGTCAATGTTATTGCTATGAAGTTCTGAATTGTTATGCAGCAATCATGGACTACCTAGCAGCCACCAATTTTTTTTAAACAGTAATTTAAGGTATTTCTGTATTTAATGTATGGTTCCTGCCCACTGTCTAGACTCAGTTGTCACAAGCAACTGAGAATTTTCCAACCTGAAAACCTCTCACTTTTTAAAACCCTGAAAACCCCAGTTTGCAGGAGGGCAGATACAAAAAACAAAACTCATATCCAAACCCCACAAACCGCCACCCATAAATGAAACACACAACAGATAGTATGGATACACTCTTCATAAACGTATTCTTTTTGCTAACTTAAAAGGTGCTTATTATCCAAAAATTAAAAGCTCACAATTCAGTTAAATACAAGAACATAATAATCAAGTCCCCAGTCTACTACCTGCGGGGTGAGTCCCTCATTCTTTTGTAACTCCCCTTTGATATGTTTCATAAAGGGTTTAGCTTTCAGGTACTGAAAGCAGAAATATATCTGCCTCAGGCAAAGCGTGTTGCAAGCCTTCCGGGGGATACCCTTTTATCTGATAAACTGACTCCAAACTATGCAGTTTCCTCCTTCCCTGTCAAGTCTCAGCCTTTACTTAGTCCAGATCCACACTGTTTTTTGTAACTTTCAATTAAGGGGGTGAGGATTCCCCCCTCCCTCCAAACAGCTGCTTGCATTTTCCATTTAGTGATTTACTTATCTAGAATTAGGGTTACCATACTTAACAAATAAAAAAAGAGGACCCTCCACGGGGTCCTGGCCCCGCCCATTTCCCACCCCAACTCCGCCCCTTCCCTGCCCCAACTCCGCCCCCTCCTCCCTCCCACTCCCAGCCACGCGGAAAGGGCTGCCCGAGCACTACCGGCTTCACGGTTTGCCGGGCAGCCCCCAGACCCTGCGGCCCCGGCCAGCGCTTCCCCAGCACAGCTGGAGCCCGGGAGGGGAAGCACCCAGCGGGGGGCGCAGGGTCTGGAGGCTGCCCGGCAAACCATGAAGCCGGTAGCGCTTGGGCTTCGGGCAGTCCCCTTGCCTCCGGACCCTGCGCCCCCGGCCCGGCACTTCCCTTCCCGGGCTCCGGCGGCGCAGGGTCCGGAGTTATGGGGGCTGCCCAAAGCCCGTAGCGCTCAGCTCTTAAACAGAGCCGAAGAGTCAGGGAGGAGCAGAGCCGCCGCGGCCGGAGGCTCTGCTCCTCCCCTGACTCTTTGGCTCTGTTTAAGAGCTGAGCGCTACG